AGGCTCCCACCCTGGGGGTTTTTAAGAGGAGGTTGGATGACCACCTTACAGGGGTCATTTGACCCCCAGTGCTCTTCCTGCCATGGCAGGGGGTTGGACTAAATGATCTGCTCAGGTCCCTTCCGACCCTAGAAACTATGAAACTATAAACTATGAATTAGTTAATGTTTCTAAAATAATGCCCCAAATCCAAGGAACAATTAATTAACTTTGGTTTGTTACAGTATAGGCCTACCCATGGGAAAATAAGCTTGGGAGATTTTTTTTTTTTAGTGGTATGGCATGTTCACCTAAACCTGGCAAGGGTGTGTGTATGTGTGAGAGAGAGAGAACATGAGGCGAGGAGGGGACTTTGGTACTGAAATTTGAAAACTTTTCTTTCCTTTAGGGTCAATAGGAACCATATGGGATATTTATAAATTACCTAGATTTCTTTTTGTTGACATTGTTGATGCTTTTATCACTGAAAGGTTCCCTTCATACTGGCATACATCTTTGCTTGCAAATGCTAGGGGCAGGTTATCAAGCCATGTGTAAGGAACTCTTGTACATTAGAAAGCCACTCTGAGCTTTCTTGTGCACACACCAAATCTGCAGTGGATAGTTACAGCTGTTCATTTTGACAACAGGATCTGCAGTAACTTTGTCGTGCTGGATTCCAGATGAACTGTAAATTCTCTAATAAGAACATCCAATCCTCAGGTCAGCATTTTATCCTGAACATACCTGCTCTATCCTTTGCCCCTGGTGGTCGGATCTGGCACTGGAGAAACTGGCAGCGGCAGCTGGGTAGGCCACAGAGGCTTACTGGAAGCCAAGTCTGGCCACTGTGTGGCCCTTGCCCCATCACATGCCCGGGGGCAGTGGGACTGGCCACATGCACCATGGCCTGCATAGCCAATAATGTCACCGATAAATGCTGTGTGCATACACGCAGCCACCATGCATACAGCCAGGAATGTAGCCTGGTAGCTTGGAAAGCAGTGTCCAGCCAATAAGTCTGCAGGGAAGAAGAGGCGTGGGAGAGGGAAGGGGTGTAGGGGGGTGATCAAGGCCACTGTAGTGAGGGAGGCCTGCCCTTTCCCCATGCACAAATCTGGTGGGGGCTTATGGGCCCCATGCCTCCCCCAGGGGTGCACGCAGCGGCTGGGAACACCCACCCCCAAGACGAGCTGCCCACAGCTCTGCCCCATGCCCCAACCCACCCCAGCTAGGCAGTGCCTACCCGTGCCGCAGCCCCACTCCCTCCCTCACTGTGGGGGCCTCAATCTGCTCCCTCCAGCCCCTAAAGACTTACCAGCCAGATACTACTCTCCAAGCTGCCGGGCTGCATATCAGATTGGTAACAGCTGATGTGGCTGGTTAATAATCGGCCATCTGTATCAGCCAACGAAATCTTTATTGGTGTACCCCTAAAAATTATTTAGGTAGTCTTGCAGGTGTATCCCAAAGGATTTTCAGAAGATATATTTAATATTCATCCTTTGTGAGGTTTGACTAATGAAATAACAATACTTCTCAAAACAAAACACTGGACTTGAAGTAGGACCATTACAGTTAATCGTCACTGGAAATCTACAAGTTCTGGATTTTATAACATTCAGAAAGTTGCATTCTGGGTTGTTGCTGTGATCAGGAGCTAATCTTTGTAACATAAAAACAGAAGAAGGTATAGAACAAACATAATACTAAATACCTCGTTAGCAATTTTGGGGGGTGTTAAGTCCATAATTATGAAGATGTTTTAATATTCCAAGACACTGTTGTTTTCCTAAAGATGCACTGTAGTCATGGCCAAGCCATGCCTCATGCTTTAGAAATGAAATGGTGTCAGTGTGCTGCTGTTTCTGGAAACATCTAGTGAGCATATATGTTAGAAATGTTATGAAGAAACAACTGCAGTGCTGCTTAGCCAGTTTTGTGAAGTGTGAGGTCTGTGTCTGACACCCAGAACCTGAAATTAGATACAAGAAGCAAAAATCACATGTTTTTTTTGTATTTCACTACTAGCTAAACCAGAACAACTTTGCCTCTGTGTGATGAAAAGCATTACTACAATGTTAAGACCTTTTCATTTCCCATTACAGTATAGTTTTGTATTACTGCTTTCTGGCCTCATTTGTTGAAATCATTCAAAATTTCACTGCAAAAAAAGTCTTCCCTTTGCTGCTGCCCCAGAGATGTGACATCAGCTGAAACATTCCAGTTGCTGTCTGACTCAACTTCGACTTCACACTCCTCCTAAGTTAGCTTTGTTCTGTCGACTTATTTTGTGCCTCCTCTTCCCTGCTGTATCTTCTCTGGACTTCTACTAATAAGAATACCCTTTCTTTTGAGATGTTGAACATTTTCCAGTACTACCCCTTAGTTTTGGTATTGTCTCCCTTTTTCTTTGCACAATAGGCCTTTTTTCCCCAAGAAAGCAGTAGAATGCTTGAGCTGGTGATCCCTAAAAATAAAAGACAGAGTAGGCAAGATTTGTTACTCACTTCCCATTTTGGTTCCTCACCAGAATCTATATTTTTACAACTTTTTGGCATACAGTAAAGTCACTTTCTCTTTGAAGGTTGAAGAGTGTGTGTGTGTGTGTGTGTGTATGCATGTATATATATGTATATATGTGTGTATATATACATACATACACATATACACATACATACACACACACACACACACACACACACATATGTGTATATAGATGTGTGTGTGTGTGTGTGTGGGAAGGACTCTTGTATACATATGGTAGACTCCAAGGCCACAGTTGATACCCGTAGTTGAATTTTTGGAATTTGAAGAAATAAATAAAAATAAATACTTAACTAAAACCATTGATGTCTGTAGGTTCTCTCATGCTCTGAAAAGTTATTGATCTTCCTTGTAATTAAAGATAATTAATGAATAGTTAAGGTGCAAGAGTGGCCTGTCATCCTACAACAAAGTTGGGGGGTTTTGCGTTCCGTTGTGCTAACATTTTAAATTTAATCATGAAGAAAAGATTAAATGCAAAATCATGTTCAATTAACAAATGGCTTGAATAGTCAAGAATAAAATTAATATATCTTCCTGGCCTTCTGTCCTTATGAGGAATCTCTGTAATAGAGAGAGCTATGCTACATATATCACAGTGCTCTGCCACAAACTGAGCATATCTGCTTTGGGTTGATTTTATCTAATGAATATTTTCCTACTATTACATGGATCTTATTTTGTCCAAACACTGTTAAAGTTTCAGAACTCCCTTCAGTATAAATCCAACATTTTTTATTCTATTTTTATTCCTATTACAGATTATCATAAGAAATATGAAGAAATCTTTATTACCTGGTTATGTACTTATGTCCCTTTCTATTAACAGGCCAAATATCCTGATATTGTAACACTTCCTGAAGGACCAACAGGAGATTACATGATTATAAAGAACCCTGAACTTTCTGGGTAAGGCAACTTCAAGATGCTTATTAATGTTTTTATATAAGAAAAAAGAACAAAAGCAAAGTTTTGATAATGACATTTTAAATGGAGGTTGTTGTTTTTTTTTAGAATAAGTGATCTCTAACTCAACTAGAAGTAAATGTGAAGTGTCTGCCAGAATCACAATTTGTATATAAAAATTGGATAATTGTCAGAATCACATTATTGCTTATATTATGTAATCACTTTCTCCTTTAAATTTAAAAGAGTATTGTATGAACACATTTTGTAGATACAGCCATATTCAGCTGGGAAATTTCAAGCAAACACCACAGGATGCTTGCTTCCTGTGGCCCTGCTGGGGATGACAGAAATGTATTGCTACTTCAAATATTTATTTATAAGATAAATTATAGATTATAACACCTAGACTGAGAAAGTGGGAGGCTCTAATAGCATTTTATATTTTGAACAACAATAATACTGAAGATTCCAAGGCCTTTATGACCATTACAACAATTATGTTTTATTTATTAATAATTAATATTTACAAATGTTGCTCACCTCATTCAAGTCATCACTTTAGTGTAGTTTATGGATCAGTGTGAGGAAGGTGTAAAAGATTTGACTGAAAGTTTAAAAACACTAGAAGTAGAGATGGGCCAAAGAAGCAGTTTCAGATCTTTATCCAGCCCAGGTTTGGGGCTGAGTTCAGTGGTGGTGAAATTTATGGTTCTTCAAATAATTGAAGATTCTCACTGGTATGTGTCTCACACCCTGCACTTTAACCAGAGACTTTTACCTTTAGCGGTGGCAGTGATCTCTTGATTTGAGGATGATCTCTACCGTGGCTCATTGGTGGGTCTTGAGGTGACTTAAAGAGTCCAGTCCTTGAGCAACAGATACATTCACAGAAGTTGCAGGTCTTTCTGCAGAGGAAAGTAGGCCATCGGCCAAGGTTTCTCTCATTTTCCTTCCTCCTCTCTCTTCTCGGCAAAGATGCTAGACCTAGAAGTGGGCTGCCGCTTGGTTGAGGTTGCAGTACCACTGCAGTTGGTTAGCAGCTAGCTCCTCCTAGTTGTTGAAGTCAGCAGCAGTTTTCTTGAGGTATGCCTTCACTGCGTCCTTGTAGAGTTTCTGCTGTGAGATCTCAGGCCACAACTAAGGTAGGAGAAGAGCACTTGTTTTAGGAGCTGAGAATCAGGCATCCACACAGTGTCCAATCCAGCAAAATTGGTGCTTGAGTATCGCTTACTCAATGCTAATATGCCCCACGCTAGAAGCAAGCGGCTTAACTGGATTGAATGTCTGAAGTAATGAGTCTGACTGGCTTACAACTCTTTTCTTTAAATACTACTGATTCTTCAAAAGTAGGTTGACATGACTACGAATGTTAAAGCTTCGACTTGGGGACCTTCTCGAAAAGAAAATTTGGTTTACTATTTTGATATTACCTAGTGTTGACTTTTATTTAGTATTTACATATTAATTCAGAATCTGAGATGTGCTTACAATAACGTTTCCACTGAAATAGACATCTAAATTTATTAAGTACTATACATGAGTTGCTTGTATTTTATATTATTATGTACAATACAGGTTTGAATTAATGATCATTTGGAAGATACCCGTGAATGAAGAAGGAATAGCAATACCTGTCCTGGATCTTCTGCCTAAAATACCAGCACACAGTAATGTCACAATATGTTCTAAAATCATTTTTACTCGTGTGTTTGAAAAGCGAGATTTTCCTGGCTCATAGTAAAGTCACTAATCAGATTTTGCCCAGATGGTTACAGAATGGAAGTTGCCACAAAACTCCACTTCAAGTGGCTTTCCAGTTTGACAAAATTTCACTCAATAATTCAATCAGTGGTATACCCACTACATGGTGTTTAGAACTGTACCAAAAGTCAGAATATCACCTCTACTCTTCCTTTTTATCACTAACTTCCTGCTTTGACAAACTGGTTCATGGCTAGTCCTTGTTCAGGACCTAGGGAGATGCTGGTATGAATCAGAAAGGCATGAGGCCTTCCCCTCAGTGGAATCTAGAGGGAATAGTTCTGATACAGCCACCAACTCTACAGTAGATTTCCTTTAAGGGCAATTTAGGACACTGGTAATGTTAGGCAACCACTAATGAGTGTTAAGCAAACTGTGAAATCAGTGCACAGTGTCCACACATTTTCTATTGAACAGATGTATGACCATAAATCATGTGGCTGTTTCTATAGGCTACCCTTTCCTTGCTCTATCAGGAAAGAGGGCTTCTGTCAAAGTTTCATGCTTTTAGGTATTCATGAATGGTGCTTCCTGCAAAATGATTTAGCATTTTCCAGTTCTTAAGATGTGTAAGGCTATCAGCAAGAGCATTTTTAGTCTAATTCACTACTTGCTAGAGCCAGAGAAGTAGCCTGTTTTCCTGACAAGCAAGCAAAAATAGGCAAGTGCTCCAAAAGAATTGGTTGGCAAGTTTCAAACTTTCAGTGGGTGATGTAGTCACTGCATCCAGGTACCTTCTAAAGATTTTGATTGCTGTATTTGCTGTAATTTGGATTTTGATGTCTTTAATCTATTTTTTTCCTTGCAGGTATACAGCATAAGGCAGCAGCCGCTGCTGAAAATGCACCTGGCTGCTTCAGAATTATGCTGCGTTTGCTTGGGATTGAGGCCTCCATTGAAAGTGTGGTCAAATCATTTGCCATGGAAACAGAGTAATTTATAACAGTAGCCATGTGAATTATACAGTCTATAATTTTTATTGAATATAAACATTAAGTTATTTTCCATTTAGAAACCATACCCATAAAACATGCTATCTGTACAATTATGGCACATTCTATATAAATTGTCATGATGTGAAAAATAAATACAGCCATTTAAATACAAAATGCCAAATAAAATAGTTACATGTACAGAGTGAATTTCATTATAAAATTTAACTCTCTGAATCAGTAATGTACCGGGGGGGCGGGGGGTGTAGGTTGTCCTTAACATTTTCTAGGTATCTGGAAAGTGTTACAAGAACATGTGCTGTCAAATTCAAGTCCATAAAAAGTGGAAATTTCATTTCACAGCTCTATACAAGTACAGTGATCTTAACAGCTGCTTACAGATATTAAAAAACAAACACACACAGATATTACCAGAAGTAGCAGCGTGATAGTTCAACCCAGTTCCACAGCATCTCTTTAGATCAAGCACTTCAGCGGGGCTTTTTGCCACTTTTATCTAAAGCCAATTCAATCAGTTATTAGATAAAAGCACCAAAAAGGCCCACTAAAGCACCCAATCCATAGACGTGGCTTGGGCCAGGTTGAATTAACATGATTCCTATTCTGGGTGTATGCTGGGTTTGGTGTGGGAGCACACTGAGTGTAAAAGTAAAGCGCCATTTGGGAGGGGGTGTTGTTTTGTTTTGATAATGTCTGTAAGCAGCCTCATGGCTCGAAAAAAAGTGACATTAAAAGAAAAATAAAGTTCCTCAAGTATTCCTGTTACTAAATGTAGGTAAAGTGATCATCATAGCCAATTAAAAAAAAGTTAGTTTGTAAAAAAAAAAAAAAAAAAAAAAAAAAAAAAAAAAAA